CCTGCTGTAACGTTGACGAAAGCCTTGAACTGAAATACCTCCATTTTTTCTTACTGCCTTGTTACATTAATCATTACTAATTCATCATCATGTCATCATCAAGTCTAGATAGGTTGTACTAAGAACATTTGTACAACTTTGAAATAAAAGAATTATTAGGGTGAGAAAGCAAATCAGTGCTTATTTTAGTATAGCCTTTTTAGCTGTTGTGTGGAAAAGGGAATGGGTAAAGAAGAAATGTGGGCAAATGCCAAGCCTCAGTCTGTGGGATACCTGTAGTAGGGTGGTCACCATCAGGCTCATCTGTGGTCCACTGTCCTTGCTTGAATCCTGGTGGTCCTATGAGAAGAAGAGTAAACTGTGTAAGTAGAAAAAATATGTACCTTGTGAGCCTGGAACAGAGAAGACAAATACTGAAAAACGTGCAAAATTGTGACTGCAATGCAGTACAGTCTTATCACCCTGCTACATAACTCATCTGTGCTAAAATTTAAAATATTTGAAAAGTTTCAATATTACACTGTCAGTCAAATACCTAGTCCAGTCTCCTTCAGTTAAAGAATGTGCTTTTTTTTGGCAGAGCTCTTGAAGGAAAACAATCACAAAGGTTGAAACAAACGATTTTACCCATTCATGGTTCTCTATATACAGAATTAATGCCAACTGAACTGACGTGGCTTGAAAATAAAATGGTGGGCAAGCAGCTAGCAGCAATAGAAAAAGCTAACAGTAATAAGCACGCAAGGGTACAAAGAAAGTTACACAATACAGGCAACAATGGTGCTATCAGGCTCTTTGGTAGGGGATACTCAAAATGATCATTCTAAAAAACTTCTAACCTACTTTCTAAAGTACATTCAGTACATCCAGTTACGTATGAAAAACAGTTAAACCTGTCACCTACTCGATGTTGAGGAACTGAACGATGACTCCTTTGATGCATCTGTCTCTGAAAGATCACTTTCCACATCTTCCTGCATTTCTTCTGTAAAGCAGTGTTAAGAAAACCATGTAGCACAAAAGATATTTACTGTGAAATAAAAAATATAAAAACATTTTGTTTACCATTGGGATTAATTTGGATTTGATCGAGGCTCATTCCCTTGAAGTCTGACAGTCGGCCTTGTTCTAGAGCAATGAGCACTTTGCTGACTTTAGCCAACTCAAGTGTTCCTTCAGGCAGTCTATAGTACTCCCTATGGACTCTGATATCATGGCCTAGAAAATTTGCGAGGATGTCCATCTCATTGTCTCTCAGGTTTAGGACTGTGGACAGTGTGGACACGTGCTTTCTCAACTTAGTTGAGGACAGTGTTTCTGGATGCTTCGCTCCACATTCCTTTGCAATCTGTCTGATGGCATCTGATCCCCTGAAGTGAGTGTCTGCTTCAGGTCTAGAGAAGAAAAAGGGATTTTCATCAGACACACCACAGGCCCGCCGATGTGAAACCAAGGCTTCCATTGAGGACAGCATGTCTGGTGTTAAGAGGATAGGAACTTTTCTGTTCCTTTTCCCTCTTATTTCAATGCGCTGGAAATGGCGACAAAGTTTTTGTTCCAACTCTGAAAGTCCTACTGCCAAATCCGAATGGACTCCTGAAGTGTCTCGCAGGGTGAATGCAGTTAGTGGCATTTTTGATACCTCACCCTCTCTCCTGCGGTTAAACAGTATCACTTCGCAAAGAGTCAAATTGGCCAGCATTGACCAGTTCTTCTTATTGGGATCACTGGCAAGTCTGGTTTGGTATTCTTTTCTGTACCTATCAAGATACATATGCATGGTTTTTACATCCTCGGTGAAAGGGAGGAGTTGAGGAGTGTTCCATTTTCCTTCTTTTAGAGTTTGCAGGGCACGAGATGAAACGCACACATCCCATTTCTTCTCATAAAGATCCCGGCTTCTCTTCAGATTCTTAAGAAATTCCTCATCATGAAAATCTGCCATCTTTGCTTCACACTCAAGAATATCTGCAATCTTCTTGAGACTATGGCCCAGTTTCAGAGCCAATGATGGAGCTCTGTAGATGTTTTTGTCTTCATCAAAGCCAGCCACATCCTTTACTGCTTGAACCACAAACTTGAAATTTGAAGGTACATAGAAATCCTCCATTTTTTTCAGTGTCCCTGCTTCCCGTGAGCGCAGAAGTAACCGTCCCATTTCTCGCATTTTTTGTCTGATGTACTCATGTTTGGTCTTGTCATGTCCATGTTTTGAATACAAGTGTTCTCCTAGTCGCAAGATACTTTTCTCCTCT